CATCGTTTTTCTTTTCACTTATTTTTGTCTTGTATCATAATTCAACATTTAAAAAAAAAATAGGATTCATGACTCTTTTCATTTTTCTTTCATTGAAGGGTTATCTCATTCTCAAGAATTGCCTCATGAGTTTACCGAATTGATCTAGGTGGGTTCAAGATTTTTTTTGTTTGCTTATAATTGTTGTTTTTCTAATCATTTTCATTGGATGACTTATCATTTAACATTGTTTTTTTTTAAATGTAGGTTTTTTTTTTTTTTTAATTTTTATTAGGTTATCTCAGTATGATAACCTAGTCTATAGGCTAGACAAGTTTATCTAAGTAGTCTCAAGTTTTTTTTTAACTTATAATTGCTATTTTTTCCCTTTTTGTATAATTTTTCTTTTTTCAATTTAATTTTTTAACATTTAGGCACCGTTTGGGAATGCGGTGCAAACCGCGTTCCTAAAAAAATCATTTTTTTTGTGTTTTGTTAAAATTTAATATGTTTTGTATGTTTTGTATGTTTTAGATTGCTTTTATGTATTGATATCAAAAATAGTTTTTAAAATACATTTCGACATGAAAAGTTATTTGAAAAGCAACCGCAATCACACTGGCAAACAAGCTAGTTAATTGAAAATTAAACTTTAAGATTTTTTCAAGAAATAATTTAGATTACAAGCTTAATAAGTTAATATAGTTAACATCATTTTCTCTTGCTTGTTTTCTTTTTCATTTTCATTGTCCAACTTTGTATCAATTTCTTTTTATCCATCCACGGCAGAGCGAGAGTAGTAGAGTATAGTTAGTGCAAATATACAGGAGGTGTATTTTGGATGTACTGTTCGGTAAAAAAAATCCAGAGGGGGAGGGGGCACTCCAAACAGAATGTTTTAAATTACAATAAAAAAAGTCCTGGTCATCCTTTTAAAATAAACGTTCTAGCATTTCTTATTTAAAAAATTTCAAACATAACATTTTAATTACTTCTTTCTTTTTATATTTATTTATCTCCAAGAAGCAAGCATGAATAATTAATCATTCAGCAAGATTTTATGAATCAAATTTTATATATATATATATATATATATGTTCAGAATAGAATAAGTCTCATGCAAATGATCTAAAGGCATAGAACTACTCAATTTAACTCAACAATTAACCTAATTAATTCGAAAAACATTTAGCAACATCAAGGATTTATTTTCTTTGACAGATAAAGATTTAATATTTAAAAGCTCAGGGTTTGGCAGGGAATGAAGGATTCCAACCGTGCGATTAATTGCTGGCCTTATCGGTATTTCCCGAGAATTTACTTATCTTATCATTTATATATATTTTTAATTGACGTGTTAAATTATTCTTGCCATATTAGACAAAGCTAATAAAAGATGGCAAAAAAGCAATCTCCAACAGAGATACTTTCCACTCTCTCTCCAGGCCGTCGCCGACATATTGTCACATTGACAAGATTGTCCCTGACCAAAGCTCTTAATTATGTTTTAAATGAGAAATTAACCATGCTTCCTAACCTTTGACACAGACAAGAATCCATTGAATTTTTGTTTCTCAGCAATAGCCATCGCTACGTCTATCCCTAAGCCTAAGCACACAGAGAATCTATATTAGGGAAATGAGCTTTTAGGGTTTGCAAAAGGATGCCTTAAAGAACGCTATAGATCCACTACCATATGACAGCCAGCTGGGAGACAGCAAAAACCTTAATTAGTCCGATGACAAAAAATGATTCAATAATAGCAAGCTGATGCATGTCCTTTTACCCCTGTTCTTCCTGGGGAATAAATAGACATAAAATTATTTATTTATTTGTGAAAACATATATAAAAATACCTAAAAAAAGGGGGGAGAGAGAGAGAGAGAGAGCAGGCAGGCGCAAAGCGTGGCTAATATTTTTCTGCATGTAGATGAATGCGATGGAAGCTGCTAAACGCGAGCTATTAACATCAAAGGTTACATATCTCGTTGAAAATTGAATGTCGAAATACTCTGATTGTATATGTACTTTGAGAGACCATATCATTCCTTTCAATGAGCATGTGCTCGTTTTTTCAATGGCTGACCGAGCGACTGATAACTCCACCAGCTTCCATTATTCTAAAATTAATATTATGATAATTAAGAGCTGCCCCTTCATGTTTCTCTCGAACCAACACCTTAATTCTTTGGATGCTGATTAGTAAGCATGTACTACTTTTAAAAAAAAAAAAAAAGATTCTAGATCTGTATACTTGTGAATTCATATCTAATATGATACCAATAAGCCCACTTACTGTAAAAACCACCTCCATCCATGAACTCATCAAAATTAAACTAGGTTTACACTGTAATTATAAAACCTAACTCTATTCATGATCCGACATAAGTTTTAAGTTTGTAAACCGAAAAAGTCAACTAGTAACTAGTAGTTTAGTGGATAATTTTTTTAAAAAAATTGCTTGAATTATCTCTTCTAGATTTAATCAAATTAATTGAATATAAATTAATTTATCAAGTTATTGAAATTTAATTAGATTAACTTCTTAAATTTTATAAAATTAAACTTGGTTTTGGCTCGATCGATGACGAACGGGTGTTTAAATCAAACCTATCAATGGGTTTGTTGCCTTTTCCACTATTCTGTTACACATTCAGCTCATACGGGTGTGTGTGTGTCCAAATAAATGCACATCCCATCCTCCATAAATAATGCACCTAATTCATGGAACAAGGAGGGCTGGTCAAGATCCAAGGAGCAAGGAGAAATTTAGGATTTGATCTAGAGGGGCATTTTGTGTGAATAACAAGAAAGAAAAGGTCATAGTAGCAAAATCAGAAAAAGACAGGAGAGGAACTGATCGTATCTTCAACGTACGATGTATTGCAAGTAGTTTGTTTGTTTGTATATATCATGCCAGAACTCTACATGTAAATATGTCTCCGCGCGAGTACAGTAAAATCACACTCGCCTAAGCGTTTTTGGCTTTATCAGATTATATTTCTCTTTTTTTACCGGATAAAAGTTAAGAATTATTAAAATTAAATATTTAAATAAAAGTCTTTATTAAATATTAAATAGAATTTGTTATGTATGATTTTTTTTTAACCGGATTAGGCTCGCCTAACAATTTCCATCTGAGCACTTCATATAATTCTAAGATTATTTATTAGATTTGTTTGATTAAGTATAAGAAAAGTAAAGATTAATTAGATGTATTAAATGATTATTAACAAGTGTTCTTTAAATTTAAAAAGTCTATGGCTTATTTAGAGCTTATTTGTTTCTGTATGTTAAAATTATTTTTTAATAAATTTAAATTTTTTATTTTTTATTTATTTTAAATTAATATATTTTTAGTGTTTTTAAACCATTTTAATATTTTAGTGTTAAAAATAATTTTTAAAAAATAAAAAAAATATTATTAACATAAACCTTAACATAAAATTATTTAAAAAACAATGTCAATTATACTTCGAAATAAACTCTTAGTTTATTTCAATCCATTATCGTGAAGTACATACTATCAACTCGAATAACAAAAGGTAGATTCAAATGTATATTAAAAACTCAACTTTTGGTATTATTTATAATTTTAATTTTTAAATAGTGACCTGCAATTAATAATCTATGTACATGAACTCAACTAGCAGGTGTCATCGATGAAAGGGCGAGTTTAAATTAAGATACACAACAGAGCTCGTAAGAAACCTCAAAGTTGAAGTAGCAGTGCCCGAGTTGATAGTTAAAGAGAGAGAGAGAGAGGACAGGCTGGTAGCATTTGGTAAAAAAAAAAAGCTGACACGGACGTTGACTCTCATGTACGGAATGTCTACCTCTTTTAGGCAGAGGCTTATTTATTATCAACAAAACAATTCTCCTGCTTTTTAAATTATTGTCTCACCTTTTGCCCTGAATATTGTTCAATATTTTACTGTTCTCTTTCTCTCATAGCTGTGGAGTAGAGCCCAGTTGATAAGAGTGAGATAAGATTGGAGGTAGAGTGTCTTGTAGATTTTGGCATCCTGATCTTTGAAAATTTTCACGTTATATTTATGTGCTGTCCTTTAGCAGGCTCTAAGATGTCATCCACGATCCCCTCCCACCTCTGCTCCGAATTGCATCGCCCTTTTGTTTTTTGGGGAGCCTGGCGGGTTAATATCTCTGCCGAGGTCATAGAGCCAAATAGACTTGCAGGCCTGGTCAATGAAATGCATGCCATGCTGTCCAGGACTTCTGTGTAAAATGGCTTCAAACACCTCAAATGGGCATCACCAATAAGTTAACGAACAGAAGTCTACAACAGCATCGCTATATTCGAGACAGATGTTAAGAGGAGGCCCAATCTTATCTACCTAAACACAGCTCGATCAAGAGGGGGAAAATGTTACTGAAGCAGAACAGTGACTAAGTCAGAATTTTGTAAATAAATTATCAATAAATATTTAATATTATATATTATGTAGGTATACATTATATAAAGAAATCAATTTGAAAAAATATATACTAACTCATATCAAATAAAATTAATTTAAAAATACTTTTAAAATTAAAAAAATTTATATTACAACTGTTCTTTTCAGTTTTTATATTTTAAAACTTTTTCATACTCATTTCATTATTAATTTCATCAAAAATATTTTTTTTAGAATAGTTAAAACCATATAAAAAAAGTTGCTGGAAAAGAAGATTTTGTAGTGATTTTAATAGAATGCATATAAGAAAATCCAAAAATGGATGATTTTTCACTAAACACGCATTTGCTTTATTTAGACGTGAAGACAAAGTATTCATTTTCCTTTTTTTATTTCTCATATTTTTCTGTAACCCCTCTTACATGAGACTTTCAACTCATAATTTATGTTTCTACACATAACATGCTTATAAAAAGTCAAGGGGGGCAGTTACCCCCTTATGCTCTAGTGTGGCTCCGCCACAATCAGCATCATACATGCAGATTGAGATTCTAAGGAAACAAGAACCGTCATGTTTTAAATCTAACCATTGATTTCAATAATAATAATAATAATAAGTGTTTTCTATTCGATAGAAGTTTCAAAATCTCTACATTTTCAAACAACTTTCTCAGCAAGGGTAAGGAGAGCAAGAGGGCTTCGCTAGGGGTCACAGTTACATTCTCTACAAGTTAAATGCAAGCACCATCTATGAGATTAACCCGCTATCATGTTTCCCTTTTGACAAGGTAATTGCGCTTGTCTACCGTATAAGAGTATCCGAATTTCCTATTAAAGGTAACAGAGCATCTTCCTTGCCAGTAAATTAAAAATAAATAAAAACAAAAGCATGTGTAACTCTCATGAATGATGAATCTTCCTGCTTTTGGAGTTTCTGGATACTTGGTTTGGCCACTTCATAAATGATTCCAATAAGTATAAGCATATATGACAAGCAATGCCAACCTTTCATAAAACGCTACCTTCCACTAGCGAGAGGAATTCACAGCTCATCCACGTAAGACAGTGTCATGGTAGAAAAGGTTGCAATAATCACATTACGATAATGGTTGGCCGGAGTAGTGATTTGTTTAACAGAACTTCTATGCATCTGAGACGCTTCTTCAGGCCAGAGTCTTGAGAGGAGAATTCCATGCAGATCTCATTATCTACAACAATAAGAATGAGATTAATATAGTTTCCAAACAATATTTGTGTAAAGACACGGAGGATCAGAACCATGAGCAGGTTATTCTAATATGTGATAAAAATCAAAGAGTTATGATCCCACAAATTGATAACCAATATCCTATTATGATCCAAACCAAGATGGAATTGTGCGAGGAAAAATTCAACAATAAAATTACATGGAGCATATGTAATAACTGCTCTCAAGAGGGGAACTACACCTTTGTCATTACAAGTTTAAGGTTTCAAACTGGTAGGATAATTAAGATACATAGGCAGTGGAATCAATTTTCTAAGTTCCACAATTATCAAAGAGATGAGACATAGATTAATAAAATCACAAATCCAGTACTTGAGCATCTGAAATGCTCTAGAGATAGCAAGGTTTCAGCATCTATAGGCCATTCATGCAAAACACAGAAAGAGATTGGCTGAGTTTGTACAGTACTTCGATCTTGATAACTCAAGGTCATGTCAGTGTACCCAATGAGAAGAGCGAAAAAAAAAGGAGGAGAAAATAAAAACAAGATGGGATAGAAGAGAAACAAAGGAGGGTGATAATTTTCGTACAGCTATGGAAACCATGTGAAAACTAGGGTGAAAGGACCACATGAAAAGAAGAAGACAAGGGTCTAACAAGGTATCTTCAACTGTTTGAGCAGTCCCCGGGAAACTTCCACTCTTTTTTGAGTGAGAAAAATAAAGTCAGATGGTCCCCAAACCTGACAACTTTCTTTTCTGACATCCAATTTGCGTAGAGAAAGTGACTATGGGAAGGATGAAAGGAAGAAGCCATAAGCTTATTATTTGTGGTCACAAGCCCAAGTAAGATTCCAGACGATAATAGCAAAACAAGCAATTAACAAGATATGGAGCCTTCAGAAGGAGAATTAGTTGAGTGTTCTATTCTGCTGTATTTTTTAGCAATTGGCTTGCTTTATATTTAGACCTCACCAATTCTTTTGTCACCGAAACAGGCAATGACCCTAGATTGATAAAAATGCAAGCATCATCACAACTGTTAAGTGTAGATCAACACAGAAGCTATCTATGTTCATTATCAGAACTACTAAGCATTGTCTCCAGTGACCAAGACAGAAAAAGAGCTCTTCCTAAACTATCGTGATGTAATATCTGCACTTCAGAGTGCCAGGTTTTGAGAGAGAGAAAAAGAATCAGCATCAGGAAAATACCCATAGTAAAAAAAGTTAACCTATTTTTATTTCTCTAACATTTTAAAACCAAAAGGTGGATGCATGCACTTAAGCTTCAAACAGGTATAACAACAATACACAAGCAGTTTTTTTTTTTTTTTTCTGGTAGACCATATGACATAGTTTGGGAAGACGAAAGCAGTAGAAAACAGAAATTACAGCAGAATAATGGCTAAGAATAGGATAAACTGATGTTGGAACAGGATAATTAGGGTTTAGGGTTCATAAGAAACATCTAGAATCTGAATAGATTGATAAAATAACAAAAACTACTACAAAAGTAATCCTAGCAGCCTATTTATATTAATTTAAGCCTTATATGCTTGTAGGAAAAGGATTCCTGGTCCTAGTCTCCAAGCAAAACTATTTAGCCTATAAAGGAAATACTTTAAAAAGTCACATGCTAATCACATGACCTTAGATTAACTAACTTTAATATCAGAAATATAATAAAATAAATCCTAGAGAAGGCTTCGTCACCATATGATGAAGCCTATAATATGTTCATAATTTACTTGATTATGGAAACAAAGAAGAATAGACATAAGATGAAATGTACAAATGCATATTCACAGATGGACCACCATGATCCAGTCCAATATTAATATGAATGCTGCAATTGGTGGTCCAGCAAGATACAATAGTCAAAAGAAAGCAATTCTAGAAGCCACCATAAGTAGTGGCACCAAATGAAATAAGGCTCAATCCTCATCTGAGTTGAAACAGAAGATGAAAAAATAAACCGGAGAGATAACACACAACATATGCAAAAACCACTATTGAACAGGAACACTAATTTCCCAATGCATAACTCACTTTGGGTTGTCTGTTAAGGTTACTGAGGACCTAAGCAAACGCTGGCTAATACTGTCAGCAAGCACACCTTTTTCTGAATTTAAAAGGGACTTTTCCTTCACAAAGCTTTGCAGATTTTTTGCTTCATATTCAATCTGTTCTTGATCTGCATCACAGCAAACACTAGATTCAAGGAATTGCCATTGACGCTTGCTGAAAGAAAAGTTTAGTAGACTAAAAGTCTGTATTGATGACCAACCATGTTCCAAGCATCATAGTTCCATAGTCTTCATCGATCATTCCATAGTCTTCATCGATCATAGGTAGCTTTTATATGTCATTTGTGATTTGGCACATGCAAAGTTTCATGCATTGAGGCTAACCATAGCATGTTTTCACTGAAATTTCTCCATGAAGCACAAAAAACTGATAGTAATAGTTTATGGAGGCACCTTCCAAAAATTTGCATGCTCTCTGTCCAAAAAATAAGCTACCAATTCACAGAATGAATCACACCTTCACAAATTATACATGTCCAAGAACACTAATTGCATTTTGCAAGAACGAGGAGAATTGTATAATATCAGATCAAATGTCTACAAATACAACTTTTCTAATGAAGCATTAGTTCCTCTTTGAACTAGGGTTCTAAGTTCTAACACCAAGCTGGGAGTGTTGGTGCAATGCATAAACTCAGTCTCAGTCTACCATCTCCAGCAACAGAAAAAACCCTTTTTTTTTGCCCCATTTGATAAGCTATATCAGTTCTCATTGAGAATTGGCAACATGAGACCTTCAAATACGAGGTTCTCAAAACAATAAAATCTCCCAAGTGTCTCCTATTTCAAGTCTAAATCTCGAGCAACCATATATTCCAGAACTTCCTCATTTTCTGTGCAGAGAAACAGAATCAGAAAACAGTGAAAGCCCACTTTATTATTCATACCGGCGCACAAATCTAAAACACTAAACCAACGAAAAACATGATAAGACAAGTTTCAAACTTAACTTCCAGAACATATTGCGCTCATTAAACCAACACAATTAGTAATTCGACTAAATTAAAACCCATCATGAATATGCAATTCTCTTAAAATGAAAAATCAACATTTCCTAATTAAAACAACTAAAACAAAAAAAATTGGGGGAGTGGGGGGGGGGGGGCTTTCTCCAGGATAGTGTGGGCAGCATGAAATGGAATAGAAGGAAAAACAACACTTTCTGGAAACATCATCCAAGTTTTCTCCTTCTCGTCATGATTACCGTAAGTCCCACAAATGTCTTTCACTAAAGGAGCAGCCCTTGATCCGGACTTCCCAATATCCTTCATTATGGACTCAAACAGAGACTTTATGCTAGTTTTTGTATTCTTAGCTCTCTTCCTTAATGCAGTCAATGCTTCTCGGTTTCCATTCCTCTCTTTATCATTTTCAACCACCTAATAAGAAATAAAACAAGTGATTTTGGAAAGAATTTTTTTCAAAGAGAATTTTTTAAAGGTCTTGAAGTTCACCTCATTGCGAGCTAATAAGACATGGTCGGCATCATTTTCCGAGCTCGACTAAACTTTGTTGGAATTGCTGCATTCCTTCATCCATTTTTTTGGGTTATAAGAGAATATGTAAAAGCCCTAGTATAGGGTTTGAGAAGTAACTTGTTGGAGGTTTTGCAGAGTTTGCTCAAGCGGAGAGAGGAGCACTGCAGCAGCATCATCAGTGCAAGACAGTTCGTCGGTGTAGGAGACATAAGAAATTAACGTGGGGTTTTGGGCTTTAGATTTATTAGAGCTCATCACTGCTATTTTGCTTCCTGAGCCTAATGATTGAAACCAAGAAGGCTCATGGGTTCAATCTGTTAACACAAATTAAGTACCCTCAGGCCGGCTTTTTACACAGCCCACTTCCTAATGCATTCATGAATTTTTTTCACAAATCTTGTCTTGTTGAGAATAAATTAACTTGTATGTTCAACTCGGGATGACTCGGAAAAAATTCCATCTTTAAATTTGTTCTGGATTAAGTTTTTAATTGAATTGAATTGAATATTAATATATTAAAAATTGATTAATTTATTTTAATAATTCATGACATATTAAAAATTGGTTAAAAATTTTCGAACTGTACCATTAACTGTATACATGATTCCGCCTGTCCTTTTGAAGAAAAACCGGCAGATGATTTCGCTTATATCTAAACCGCAGATTTTAGCTGGGCTTCTAGCCATTGTTAAAAAAATGGCTCAGCAAAGAGGATTAAAAAAAAAGTACACAGATTCAAAGAAAAAGGAGGTGATCAGGAAGGAGGATGGATTGGAACTGATGACAAATATAATTTAGTGATTTGCAGTTGAAAGGAACATGTCACCATGAAACCAAACGTTGCTTGCCCCTTCATGTTTTATACGCAATCCCCATGTTTCTTCTCTTGTGCTGTATCTTGTGGACAGTGGCGACAAAGAAAGTTCAAATTAATTGTATTCTGCACTTTTGCTTTGCTAGTCGAAGTTCTTGTTCTTTGAAAAGAATAATAATCTTCTTTTTTTATATTGCGTACACACTCAGGCTATCATCCACTTCTAAAAATCAAATCATAGAAAATAGCTCGTCAACTCAAAGTTCTATAACCCTTATATATACGCTTGCGTATAGAATAATTTCCAAAATATTACTCATCGTGGTACTACTACTCCAGCTCAACTACATTTTAGCTTATAGTTCTTACAGGATTCGATGTATTATGATAGATTTACGAGTGCTATAATGTTCTATGAACTCGTGAAGAAGAAGGAGGTTGGAATTCTCTCGCTCCGAATTCTGGAATGGTCCGTCGAGGAATTTTAAGGATAGTGACACGGGCATACGAGTGATGAGCCTTTTTAAACATAATCAACTTTCTTTCACGCTAAGTCAAAAATAAAATTATCAATCTTATATCTAATTTCCTAAATAAAAATAACTTACACTAAAGAACTCCTATATTAATTATATAGCACAGCACCTAATATCCATCTTGAATCTGCTTGGAATGATTCTCTTCAAGTACGAAAGCAGCTGTTTTGTATTTGTTTCTGTGGTTAGAAAATATTTTTATAAAAGTTAAAAAAAAAATTATTTTATTTATTTATATATTTTTAAATTATTTTAATATATATTGATATAAAAAATAATTTCTTAAAAATAATAATAAAAATAATCATTTTAACTAGTACATAAACAACAATTAGTGAGTCACGCTCTATGCTGCGGGTAACTGTGTAAGAGAATACAAGTTATTATCACCACCATTGGTTCCCAAGTAACACCACTCATAGATGCAACTCCTTTTTTGGCTATTTGTTTATCAGAATGAGAGTAAAGCAGGCTAGAAACTTGAGCCTACCGATGATCATCGGCGACAAGTTCCCGGACCAGCTTCTCTGTGCTGTTAGCTGTGACAGTGGCATAACTGGCATCTGAAGGCTGGGTTGAAGAGTGATTCCCCCATATGATGACATTCTTCACATCACTGACATGAACATTTATCCTGTCAGATAAGTGGCTCAGGGCTCTGTTGTGGTCAAGCCTGGTGAGGCATGTGAGGTTTTTTATCCAGGATTCAAGGAGCAGATTCTTTCAAGACGAGCGCCATTGTGTTTACAGGATTTGCAACCATTAGGATCTGCTATGTACTAGCAACGTAAGGCATCAACTTTGGCGAGAAATATAATGTCAGAAGAGCATTAAAAGGAAATTGTTAATTCCAAAGCTCAACTTATTTTCCCATCTCTTCAATAACTATCAGTTCAAAGAATTTTGAGAAGAAGAAAAGGAAATTTTAAATTTTTTCAGGATTCCTTGGATTCTTGTTATGTTTGGCTATTGAAAATATCGTGATTCTGTATCTGTAATTTCTGAATTGTCAATGATCAGACACCCTAAAGTTCTAAATCAAGGTTAAGAACGGATTAAATTCAGGAATTCAATTAAAAAAAAAAGTAATTTTCATTCTTGCTCTCTACGTTTTCCTCAGCAACCAACCGGGCCATTAAAAAACTGCAATGCATATAGGAAGCATAGATTTTTATTTTTTTGTATTATTTTGCATTGATTTTGTTGTAAATTTCAAGGTTATTTAAAGATATTTTTGTAATTTAATTTATATTAAACATTATTAAAAAATTTATTGATACATTATCTATACTAATAAATAAATGACCCTTCATATCCTTTGGATGGAGCGCGCGAGACTTTGCAGCCACCAAATACTAACTTTTGCAGCAAAACTTGAAAGATTTTGACATCTCTAATAATATAAAAAAGTGCATATTAAACATGTTTTATATTTGGAATTACTAACTATTTTTTTTTTCTCTTTTTACTTTATGTTCAACGCCGACCCTTTTAAAAATCCAGACTAGACCCTACAATATATTTTTTATTTACATTTGATCTCGGTTTTTTATTATTATTTTATTAATTTTAAATAATCTATAAAATTACAAATATTTTTTAATTTCATTAATTATCATTTTTTAATATTTAAATAATCTATCAAATTACAAATATTTTTTAATTTTACCTTCTATGATTTCTTAATCTTTCAAATTTAATTCTTATTATTTTGATTATTATTTATTTTTTAATTTTTTTTATATAATTTTATCATTGGGTTTTTACTATCATTTTTTATTCCAATTCTTTTTTGTAGCTATCTTTTTTTGCTTTTGAAAGTTTCTTTTTATTAATTTTTTTTTATAATTTCTTCATTTAAAATTAAATTGATTAGGAATTAAGTTTTTTGATTGAATCCGAGTCAAAGACTTTATAAATTACGAGTTTTAAATATTCAATCAGGTTTAGAAGGTTCAACCAGGTTTTTTTTTTGTTTTTTTTGTTAATGTTTTCTTCTTTTTTTCTCTTTTCTTTTTTAGAATTGTCCTATGTTATTTTTCATAATTTATCTTGTATAAGATTAGTTTTGGATTTATAACTAGGGTTATTAGCTTCAAAACCTAACATAAGTTAACTTTTATTTTTATAGTTTTTTTATTAAATTAATTTTTTTTTTAATTTAATACTTAATATTTAATTTGTTTAAAATTAATCACCGAGTTAAACAAAAAACAAAATAAAACGCTAGAGAGAGACCGGTGGAGAAAGCTTATATCATCGAGTCACAGATCCATCAATGGTTAAAATGATTAATTTATTTTAATAATTCATGACATATTAAAAATTGGTTAAAAATTTTCGAACTGTACCATTAACTGTATACATGATTCCGCCTGTCCTTTTGAAGAAAAACCGGCAGATGATTTCGCTTATATCTAAACCGCAGATTTTAGCTGGGCTTCTAGCCATTGTTAAAAAAATGGCTCAGCAAAGAGGATTAAAAAAAAAGTACACAGATTCAAAGAAAAAGGAGGTGATCAGGAAGGAGGATGGATTGGAACTGATGACAAATATAATTTAGTGATTTGCAGTTGAAAGGAACATGTCACCATGAAACCAAACGTTGCTTGCCCCTTCATGTTTTATACGCAATCCCCATGTTTCTTCTCTTGTGCTGTATCTTGTGGACAGTGGCGACAAAGAAAGTTCAAATTAATTGTATTCTGCACTTTTGCTTTGCTAGTCGAAGTTCTTGTTCTTTGAAAAGAATAATAATCTTCTTTTTTTATATTGCGTACACACTCAGGCTATCATCCACTTCTAAAAATCAAATCATAGAAAATAGCTCGTCAACTCAAAGTTCTATAACCCTTATATATACGCTTGCGTATAGAATAATTTCCAAAATATTACTCATCGTGGTACTACTACTCCAGCTCAACTACATTTTAGCTTATAGTTCTTACAGGATTCGATGTATTATGATAGATTTACGAGTGCTATAATGTTCTATGAACTCGTGAAGAAGAAGGAGGTTGGAATTCTCTCGCTCCGAATTCTGGAATGGTCCGTCGAGGAATTTTAAGGATAGTGACACGGGCATACGAGTGATGAGCCTTTTTAAACATAATCAACTTTCTTTCACGCTAAGTCAAAAATAAAATTATCAATCTTATATCTAATTTCCTAAATAAAAATAACTTACACTAAAGAACTCCTATATTAATTATATAGCACAGCACCTAATAAATCTTATATTAATTAAATTAAAGGACCATGGCTTCACAGCACAGGGTAGTTTCTCTTCCACTTAAAAACTCCGCCTCATCCTTTTGCCTCATGATGAAAATCCCAAATTGTTTCGTTGGGATAAATAGTTGTCAAGGCCGCGCGATACAGTGGGTTTGTGATATATTTATGTGTTATTGTAGATTTATATATAAAAAATATACATAAAAATATTATTGTAATTTACAATATTTAAAAAAAATTAAATTATTAACTAAATTAATATTTAAAAAATAAAATAAACAAATAAAATTTAAAAAAAATCATAATAAAAAAATAAATTAAAAAAATTATACAAAAAAATACTATAGCAATTTATAATGTTTCATGAAGAAATCTATAATTATGATTCTCAACTAACTCAATATAAAAATTAAAAATTTTTAAAAATAATTTTAAAAAATCATAATAAAAAATTATATGAGAAAACATTGTAATAATTCATAGTATTTTAAAAAAAAACTACGAAGCGAAATTCTCAACCAGCTTAATATAAAAAAAATAAAATTGACAAAGATAATTTTTTAAAAAATAAAAAAATGATGTGGAGGAATACTGTAAAAATCCATAGTGTTTTTTTAAAAAACTATAAAACTAAATTTTCAACTAGCACCATATTAAAAAAATAAAAAAAAAATAATTCTAAAAAAAACAAATAAAATTT